CCCCAAAACCCCAAAACCCCAAAACCCCAAAACCCCTCTTAACCCCTCTCAGTTGAATATATTATTTCCATCCAACCTACCTTATGGGGAACACAAGTTTCTGCTGCACGACCAGACCACACCTAAAACCAGGTAACTATCTTCCCACCCCTTTTCACACCCCCTTCCTCCCCACCCCACACCCTAAGTCCTCACTTCTCCTTCTAACCACGCTTAGCCCACATGCGTCCCAACATTTTTTAAATAGCTTAAACTCTTAAGACAGCCACAATGCTATTTGTGCAAATTAAGATTGGTAGTGGGCTTAGCGAAGTTTTTGTATAGTGTGAAGAAGGGGATTAAGGAATGGAGGTGGAGTGGAGTAGGGGGTGGGAGGGGTTGTGGGGGTGGGGTTTTGGGGGATGAGGTTGGAGAGGTGGGATTGGGTGTTGTTTTGGGAGGAGTTTGATGTTTGGATATAGGAGTTTTGGGTGGAACGGACCTAATATTGTACTGTTTGTTTAGAGATTGTTGGTTGTCTCATGTTAATATTATTTTGCGTAAACATTTAGAGTATCTAAAAAGTTGATGTTGTTTGTATTTTTAATACCATTAAAGTTAATCTGAAACAAATTAAGAAATCGAATAAGAAATCTTATCAAAATTTAGAAGATACAAAGAAGAGCATGCAATATTGAGAAGATAATCATATTATAAAAAGTGCACAAAAAGGTAAGACAATAAGCAAAAAGCATATTAGATTTAAATTTAGGTTCAGGTTCGAGTTCAAAAGATAATAAAAACAAAAGAACAATTCAAAAGAAGAATGAAACAAAACAGAAGTTAGATATGAGATCTATCAAGAAAATATCTTCTCAAAACCCTAAAAAGAAGAAGGTTAAGAAGATTATGAAGAAAAAATCCCAAACTCATAATGCTTTACCTCTCTGCCCTTTTAAACAAAAGAAGGCCACTTCCTCCAAAACCATCAGTACTTTCCCTTCATCAGCCGTTACACACCAGTCAACATCCTCTCTCCCTCCTGTTAGTACTGAAGATCTTACCAAACAATTCATATTCGAGTAAGTCTACTATCCCTCAACAACTAACCAAATCCCCTTAAAACCCCTCCTTCTGCCCACCATCCAATCCTAACCCACATTTCCAATTTCCTTTACCCTCACTCACCCCCCCCCCAAATTTTTCAAATTCCTCCTTCCACTACCCCTCCTAATCACTCCTTTCCAAAATTCCCCCTTTCCTACCTCCTCCAGCTTGGTCCTTACATCTAATCTCCCGCATAAATTTAGTTAAGCTTTCAGAATCTTTCCTTAAAGTTTCAAATTTCTTTAAGTTTTTACTTTTTTTCTGTATAGGTTTTAAAATTTAGAGGGTGGATTTTTTTTAGCCGTTATTGGATTTTGAAGGGGGATTTTGTTGATGAGTGGTATAGGATGAAGCAGGTGAGGAAGAGCACAAGAGCAAAAGTGGGATTGTTTAACAGGTATATCTTAAAAAAGAGTATAAGCCAGTTGAGAAGGCTACAACTCACTATTTATTATCAGGGAAATTTTATCCAAAATTTAGAAATTTTCATAATTCTAGAATCATTACTATTTTATCAGAATTCGGCAATTTATAAGTTATGGTAGTTTCAAACTGTCCACTTGTTAATATGGATATAGCACGAGGAAATCAATGCATTGTAAAGACACGATCAAGGAGGTGGGACTCCAGAACTATAAAGAGTATTGAGACTATTTGAGAGAATCAATGAAACATAGGAATTCGTTCTTCGCTTAAATATTCTTATAAAGCAATATTTTACCAACTTTCAAATTATTTTCAGAGATTTGGGGTTTTGGGGTTTTGGGGTTTTGGGG